ATTCCAGCTCAGCTCCTGGTTGCACTGCTGCAGTTCCTCGAGAGACCAGGCTCCCAGGCGGCATATATAGCCATGGTCCTTGGAGAACTCGTGGTAGCCAGTGCGATCCGGCGAGACGCACTGGATGAGAGGCCCCAGGTGACTTATTCCCCTCGAGCCCCCGTCGACGATGAGCCAGACGCTCGTCATGTCCCACCCCCGCGGTCGAGTATACCATTTCGATTGCAGCACCAGAGGATCGTCCAGCGAGAAGTCGAAGAAAAAGTACTCTGGATCTTCGGTCCTCCACACTACTTTCTGTCCTTCCTGAGCTCTACTGTGAAAGAAGTAGTGGCCATAGAACGTCTTGCCAATACCTGGCGTTGAAACGATGTGGAAGTTCTTCAACCCTTTCCTCTCATTCACGACCCTGCTCCACTTCTCCGCAATGAACTGATCCATGAAAAGGTAGTTTGGATGGACCCAGAGCTTGGACAGGTTGTAACGGCCCAAGAAGCCAGACGGGATGTGGAGGCAGCGGTCCTGGAGCCTGGCATGCTTTACCTCCCGGCCGTAGGCAGCGAGAAAAGGATCTGACACACAGAAACTGTTAGAGATAATTCGTGACGCCTAGATCATACCGAGCTCCTCGCTCATCTCGCTGTCGCCCAAAACCCTAGCACGGTGTAGCGGTCTAAGAAAAAATAAGCTATAGTAAGTTTCTCAAAGAATAAAAACATTCCTCGCAAAAAAAAAAAGAAAAGAATCCCTCTAGACGAATTTCTTGCGTGGAAGAAGCCCAGATCGCACACATCCTTCTGGCGTGACGCCTAACCCTAGATTGCGAGAAAACAGGGATGGCCCGGCTCGTCACGATATCTCAATCAGAGGATGATATCATGCAAGAAGATTGGCCTCTGAGGCACAAGAATGCACTACAAACCACCCCCCCGACCCCCTTGCCACGTCATCACTGTCCGTTCTCCTCGTGTCAAGCCTCGTGTCAAGTATTGACTATGCCACTATGCCACTTCTTTTCAAAGGTTCTGTTTAACAATGTACTCCACAACTCAAGTTATTAACGCATTTCCAAATTACTTCCATTCTAGATGACACCAACAATGAGCAGCACTGTTCCATGCTATATAGAAGTCACTAGCAATTTCTTGACTCTGTAATCTCAACTTCCCTCACTCCAACAGCAATTTAGCATGCCCTTTTATTCCTTTTGAAAGCTGATTCAAAGTTCAAGAAAAGTTTTGAATTTTAAAAGTAAAGTTTTTATTTGATATAACTTTAAATTGGGAAATAGTTAAAGGAGCCATTTGTGGCCAAAACTTCTTTATATGCTACATAGTGTACTAATACAATATGAAGGACAATTTGTTTCAGCAATATCACTAAGTCTATTTGCTAATTTTGCAAAAATGTAAAAAGAGACATCTTTAATGGAGATCTTCTAAATACCTTGTTACAAGCTTATTTGCTGTAATGTATATAGTTTTCACCTTTTACATTGATGTTAGAGGTAGAAACAACATTATTCAGAACACTTTTTACATTCTATTGATATGATAACTTGTAAATTTAGACACTTTCCATAAATAACACAGAATTAAAATGGGACCAATATATAAGGCATGATAGTGAGGGTTTTACAGACATAATAAGATATCATGTTAGCAATATTGAGGAAATAATACCTAATATATAAGATTTTTTGTCAAACTAATGCAAGACAGTAAAAAAAAACTAATAAATTGGGCTAAGTATACTTGATTAAATAAATGTTGTGAATGTGATTACGGGTATCAAAAGTTATTTATTAGTGAGTTATTTTAAATATTCTTTCTTTACTGCTATGATGGCAGAAAATTAGTATTGTTGGACCTTTTATTACACTCTCTTGTGCTACTAGAGTTAACTGGGCATTTTGAATGTAATTATATTGGACGAGCATAAAAATGGAA